GTATCTTTGTTGCTTGTGTTTAAAACCCTTGTGGAATGATTGCTTTTCAGAGGTGTCTTCCAGATTTAGCTTGTGTTTAGGTTTTGAGGCTCTAATGACTCTGAGGCTATTTTATTTTACTAATACCGGGAAGGAAAACTGATTAGATCAATCACAACATGTTAGGCTAAATGTTACAATCAACAATACCACAGCATCAAGCGCAGCTTAGAAAGTGACAATTTGTGGTAGTTATTAATCTATCACATTTAACTATGTGAAGTATAATCCCCTGTGCCTCTGTCGTGAGGGATCAGGTAGCAGAAGAGCCGGAAGGTGTGGGGGGGTGGAATTGGGCCTAGCAGGTGCCTGTACGTCTAAGCGGAGCTCCAGATGAAGGTGGGGCTCCAAGCCACTCCAGGAACCTCACCGTGCCCTGGGCAGGAACCGGAACTCCTTCAGTTTTATTTTTAACAATGGATGTATCAACATCAGCCAAATGGAGATCTCATTGGTGATCATTCCATCAATCTATTATAAGAAGTGTTGTATCTAAACATAATATATATGTATAAATCCATTATGATCTCTTATTATACTCGAGGAAGCATGGATTATGTACATATTTTGATCAATTATGTAGATATAATTGTGGAAATCTTCTTGCTCCCTCTGGTTTGCTCTTGTTGGCCTCAGCAGGACTGCAGTACGTGGGGACCCAGGCTCTGAGAGTCAGACTGAAACCTGACTCAAGTGGTAAGTGATGTTCTCGTCATTCTTTGCCTCAGCCTGAAGTTCCAGGTAGAACATAGAGCATTCACTTGAAGCAAAGAAGGTGTAAACACATAAAGCTGTGGACACTATGACAGCTGAGCCGTCACACTGTTTGTCCAGTCACTTGGCGCCCTGTGTGGAGCAGCCCTGGTCACCAGCACTGTCTGGCTCCTGGCTTTCTCCCTGTAACTAACCACAGGCCTCCTCAGCATATTCCTATCAGTGCGGGCCGTGGCCTCCTGGCTCACCATGACCTCAGGTGTTACAACTTTCCCTGGGGGATGCTGCTTGGTGAAATGCCACTCCTGGCGCTTTCAGCTCATGCCACCGATTCAGAGCCTGGCAGCAGTCTTTTCTTCTAAGGAACTGCATCTCGTGTTTTGGTTCCATTTACTGAGCTGTCAGTTCCAGATGTTTGGTGATAAATCATGGGTCCTTTCCTGCTTACAATTTGTGCTGTTTCCTAATTAGACGACTTCATAACGTGGTGTGTTTTCTCGCTGTTCTTGTCTTCTCCACTTACGGACACAGCTGTCTACTCCTGCAGGGGAAGCCACAGATGAGCCACGCCAGGTCGGGTCACATGGGCAGCTGCACCTGCACGGTGTGACCTCCCTGGCGTCTCCCTTCCAGGGGAGCCTGGCAGCTGCTCACTGCTCATGTGGCTGGCTGCGGGGGCACCATCTCTGCCTGCCATTTCAGGGCGGAGGTGCTGCTCTTCCCTGGGACTCCTCTCACGGACTCGATGGGTGACTTAAACATTAAAGGCTGCAACACCTCTTTACACGGCTGTACCGTTCACCAAAGAACCAGAGTGCAGAGCAGGTAGCGGGGCTTCGGGCTCCCGTTGGGGAGTTCACACAGCTTCCACTCATGACCCAGAATGACTCACCTGAGCTACCCAGGGGGATGAGGTGCTCAGTACACAGAGCCTGGCACCCACACTGGGAGGGAGGTGCCTTGTCTCTGTCTGTCTGCTGGGTTTTGCTTTGTTTTGTTGTTGGCTGACATAGAATAGCCCAGGTCTCAGATGTGTGTTTCAGGGATTTCCTGTCGGTGCAAAGGCCAGCTGGTGACAGGCTAATGCTGTGACTGGCTCTTCCTACTCATGAAAGTGAACCTTCTGTCAGAAGGCATGGGACCCTCCTATGAGGGGTGAGCTCTGGGATGTTTTTATTGTCGATTTTAGTAAAGACCCAAGTGTTTACAGATTTTGACGTTTGAGGGGAAATAGATTATCTACATAAAACCATGTAGAGAAATACAAATCCATTGGAGAGGTGAAAGAGATGAAACGTACCATCCATTTTCCTTTACATTTCCTTTACACATTGAACTCAAAAGTTGAGATAAATTTTCATCAATTTTTTGACAAAATATTAATTATTGTGAGTTGGTATTTTGTTAAAACCCTGCCCTAATTCTTTATATTATGTCTGGTATTTTCATTATTCATAGGAGAAATAAATTTGAACAATTTTGTTTTATGGACTCAAAAGACAAACTTTTAGTTTAGGGCGGTTTTTGTGTTAGGTTTGAGTGTTTTACTTGGACATTACTGGTAGGGGGTGGCTGAGCCTACACCAGGTCAGAGGTGCCAAGGGTTCCCTGCCAACCCTCACCCTCATAGAACCCACAGGAGCAGACAGGGAGCCCATGGCAAGTCCACAGTGAAAACTATCAAGTCAAACTAAGCTGGGGAGATGTATTCAGATTTAGTCATCCTGAAGAAACAAATCAGAGGACATTTAAATAAATTTTAAAATAATTCTTAGATGCCATCAACTTATTCCTTATGCAAACCATAATTTATCTGTACATGGCAATGGATTTGCAAAAAACCAAATCTCCATCTCCTTTTCTTCCAGCTGAGGCAGACGAATGTGCTTAGTACGTGGTCTCCTGGAGAGGCGGACTCTCCCCGGACAGAGCGCGCAGGCAGCGTGCCTGTGCCGTGAGTTACTCCGGATCCCACTCTCACCGAGGACAAAGCTTCCAACCAGCAACCCTGCCCATACAGCCTGCACACAGGCTCCGCTCCCACAGGGCCTACCTTTAAACTCAATGGCGAACCCTGACAGGCCCACGGAAGCGTCGCTCCTAAATGCCAGGAAAAGGCTGTTTCCGCTGCTCTCGATTCTGTCCGGAGCTTGGGAGCCCTGGAAACTCCCGATGAGTGGGCTGTTGGAGTCCTCACCCTCGTAGATGTGCAGGAAGTCGTAGCTGGGCTCCATATTGAAGCTGAAAGGAAAGAACATCCAGTGTGAGCACCTGATGGCCTCACTGCGTCTTCCAGAGGATTAAGCTTTGGAAACACAAAATGATTTTATTTGATTTTTAATAAGACTTTTGATAATTAAAGCAATCAAAAAGTTAAATAATAATATTGCATAGCAATAGCGGTTGTAATAAATACCTTAGTATTTTGACCTTAACATTCAATCTAATACAAACAATTTGGAGGATGGGTAAAAGAAAATGAACCACTGTAGCACAGGTATGTTTCTTCTCTGGACACAGGAGTCTGATAATGAGATATAAATTGCAAGAACTGGGCTCCAAAGGAATAAATTTCCACGGATATGTTATTTTTATGTGAATATTTTTAGTGTTAAATAAATGTATCCTTTGTATTGCCATGTATTCTTAAAATGTGTACATATTTTGTTTTGTTTGCTTTTTTTTACTTTACAATGAATTTTCACTACTTCCTTGGATAAATCAATCAGGAGATACCGATAGACCCTGTAATGGGGAATCTCCATTGTAAAGTCTCGTTTCACCGCTACTGGGTGTTCAGTGCCTTCTCTCTCACTCTCTCCCTTCACCTCTTCCTCTTCTCCTCTAATATCGCATGGCATCCAACCACAGTGACACTGACAGGGTCCCCTGAGCCCTGCAGGATGTGCTGTCTGACACCTGGGGGTGAAGCCGAGCTGGGCCATGAGCCGAGCTCCCAGGGGCTCCCCAGGCAACCACGCCGGCCAGTGTCCGAACTCCCTGCAACCAGGATGATAATCCGAAGGAGGCACTGGGGCAGGCGGTGAGCAGCCTGGGCGCTTCCTCTTGCTCTGCACAGGGCGCTCTGTCTGTAACAAGCACTCTTCTCAGAAGCTCCCATGCTCTGTTCTTTCTGTTGGGAAGGATTTGTGCTGCAGCTGACTGAGGACCAAGACTTCTGTAATCACAGGACATGTGCTGCCCAAGTGGCTCTGTCTGTCTTGAAAGTCAAGGTGAGTGGAGGCAGAAGGTCTCCCCCGAAGTTAGGGTGGATGAAGTAATGAGGAGTGACCAAGTTTGGGGGCTAACAGGAGCCGAACTGACCTAGTAGAATTTTATTGAGTTGATAATTTTACTTAAAATACTTTGCAAGGGTGTTATCAGAATCGGGTCATGTTCCATCCCCAACATTGGCATAGTTAATAATGATTATAGATTGGATATTGAACACTGAAAATACAACCAGACACAGGGAAAAAACATCCCACCTGGTCTCTTTTTAAAAATACAGAAGAGTTCATGCATGGAAGTCTGAAGATAGATCTATTATACAATTCATTATGGCTCCCTGTATTAAAACCTGTTTTATTTGTACCTATGAGAGCTACACCTATGTACAAGCCCTAACGCCAGGCCCAAGACGTAGTAAGCCTTTGAACCGAATTTAACTGAGCCCCTAGTCTGCAGGAGAGCGCTTAAAGGTCCCTCCCTCCCCCAGGCCCAAGCTCCAGCATGGCCCTTGGAGCCTGTGTCCTTCAGTTCCCAGAATCCTCCCCTTCACTGTCAGCAGCTCCAGAGTCTCCTGCTCCCTGGGCAGCTCACCTGACGCAGCCCAGTGGGAGGCCCTGGGGACCCCATTCCAGCAGCACCTTTGGGGAGGGACATTTTATCACTTATCCCTGTAGACCGTGCCCTGATGTCAGCACACAGGGCCCTTCCCATTTGGCTCCTTGAGCAGCCTCCTTCTCACCCAGGATCTGGCTTTCGACCATATAGATCTGGCCTTTAAATCCCCACTGGGCACTCGGACACGAACCAGATCAGAGGGAAGGTTCAGGACTGTGACCTCTTGAGCTAATGGCTCAAGGAGTCTTACAGGTGGGAGGGAATTAAGATCCTCCACTCCAGACTTTTCCAGAAAGTGAAATGGTGTAAAAGAATTCTGGTATAAAGCTGCCTCATATACCATCAGCCAAGCTGCACTGTAGGAACACTGATGAGCATCCTATCACAAGGGAAGGTGGGAAATTCCTGTCCTTGGATTTCTGTGGTCACCAGCAGGACTTTGATTGTGACTTCCCTTTTAACCTTCAGGAGCCAGATCTGCCTGCTGGTTGTAAGGAACATGCTACTTACTAGACATAAGCATTAACAAATGCCACTGTGCTATCTAGCAACACAGCCGATGGGTGCTCACTGGTTTTGTGTACCACACAGTGTGAGGGCATCAGAGCACCACCATCTGGAAAGTCTGTAGCACTTCAGTAAATTCAGGGAATGCTGGCTAATCAATCTCCTTGAGCATAACCGCAGGTCCTCAAAATGACACTGCCTCACGTCTCATCCAGAAGAGTGAGGAAGGCGATCACACTGGGCCTTGGATATGACCCAAAGATCCCGGGAAGGGAACCCATTACACTGCAGACAAATCAGTATACTTAGGCCTGGCTGGTCTGGGTTGCTCAGAGGTTGATGGAGGAGTCTCCTTGACCTCCCTATGAGCACAGCACATCCATCTAGCCCCCAAATCAAAGCATAACATTGGAAAAGACCTTGGGATTCCATAAGAACTCAATTATCACCTGCTATACATTAATATGCAGTGTATTATAGATCCTGTTTTATAAAACAAACCTCGTACTGACCTTGTATCATCTAGTTTAGCAGGAGCAAGCTAGCATACCTTTAAGACATATCTAGTAATTCAAACCTTTCAGCAACCAAATTCCAAAGCATCATTGAGTCCTAAACACCTTGATGATAGTACTAGTGCTGCCCTTGAGGATGTCAGAGAACACAGCATGACATGAATTCACCAATGCACATTTAGGAAAACAGAAGGCAGTGATGAGAAATTATACCAAGCAAATCTATATCGTATTTGTTTACTTTTTGAATATTCTGTAAGTGAAGCCTTCTCCTATGGGACAAGCTGTGTGACAGATCAGAGTCATCTAGAATTAATTCATGTGTTTCACAAGTGGAAGGCCCCTAAACACGTAATACACTTCCAGTCGTGTCACCGTGTGCGTGGTTGGGGCACGCCTGAGACAGCAGCCTAGGACTGGCTCGGGCGGAGTCAGTCACTGGCAGGCGCTGAAGCAGGTGGCGTTTGCCGGCCCACTTCTGGGGTGGGGTGCGTACCTTCTGAAGACCAAGGCGATGACGAAGTCCGGGCTCACCTTCACCCTCCAGTCGCACTCCTTGCCCGGGGGGTAGGGCTGTGGGAAGTTGGGTGACAGGAGGACTCCCGAGGGGCCGGTCAGGTTCCCGCCACACGCAGCTGTCACAGAGCAAGAGCCACAGGGAGGAGTCAGGGGAGTGGGCCAGCAGGGAGGGCGACACCAGGGCCTCTGAGCAGGCCCCTCCCAGCCTCCCCAGCAGGGGCCTGCCCTCCATCCTCAGCCGTCCAGGGAGAAGTCAAGGCCAGAGAGCATGCACCTCTGTCACGTAGCTGTGCATCCCAGGTAACACACCTTCCCGTCTTCAGGGAGGATTTTCAGACTTCTGGCAAATATAACTTCCTTCTTACAATTTAAAATTTGACCCAATTAAACTGGGCTACTTAATTTCCATACCCTCCAACATGCACACAAATAGACGCACACACACACGAAACCACATCCAGGGCTCCACAGTGATGGAAACTGATCTCTACAAATATTCTTTGATCAAAGTGCTTAAAATACTGCTATCCGAAAGGAACTCATTATGAGACAATGATAAATTTAGTAGCCTTTGTGGGCACTGGTTGGATTTAGATGCGCTCTGCTTTGTGATAGTGAGGCAGCAATTACTTAGCTCACTGTTGCTAAGTGACAGGACATTTTTTATTCTTGAAACTGAAAACAGGGTGATTTCACAGACTAGCTCAGCTCTCCCCGAAGTCTTCGGTCACTTGGAAGGGGTCAGAACCCTGTAGATTTATCGGGGCGCTGTGTGGACACTGGCCTGGATACACCGGGTGTCCTTCACCACGACTTCAAGCACCCTTAAGCACAGGGCTTGTCTCCCATCAGAGGCCACATGCACATTTACAGAAATAACAAAGAAGTGGAGGAAAACTGCGCCATCGCTGATGTCTTTCCACACACATACAAAAGATTGTTCTTATGAAAAGAGAATGAAGGAAGAAGTGTGCTTTATAATCTTCTGTGACAGGTGGTGTTTAAATGCTCACAATTCCTGAAAACTTAATCTTTCGAAAGATCAAATACAGCTAAATGCAGTAGGTTTGTTATCAATCCTGACCAATCAAAATTAAATGAGTATCACAAAAAATATGTATAATAATTCTTACAGGCACAGGCCCAAGAGTAACGTGACCTCTTTTCACAGTAAGAGCAAAAGCCTGCTTCCCCGGTGTGCAGTTTCACTCTGCTGAGCCATGGCCAGCACGCGGTCCACCTGGGTCTGGCGGGCTTCCCCTCCGCAGACGCCAAAACGCTGCCCCAACACCAGGGGCGCTGTAGAGAGGGAAGGTGCCAGAGGTCTGAAAGGTTCTGTGGGACGTGGGGTTAGAGGAAGAACAGCCCACGGGGGCACTGGCGGCAGAGCGCCACCAGCAGGAGGAGTGGGGCAGGACTCGGGCGCTGACTCAGGACCAGGCACAGAGCCTTTCTTACTCCTGTGCTCCCAGAAGCGCTCTCACATGCCTCTACTCAAAAGCTGAAAGTCGGATTTGGTAGCTCTGTCTGGCCTTGCTGGCTCACTCTTTCCATCCAGGGCTCTTCATTTGGGCTTCACTGAATTTTATTTAAAGAACTTGCAAAATATTTTCACTAGGATCAGAACCTAGTAGAAAATATACCTCAAGTCCCTAGGAATTCTCCAAAAGGAACGGACAGGGCGGTAGGATCCAGGCACTCATCCCCACGCCCCGTCCGGAGTGAATGCCAGGGCGCCTGGTCCAGTGGGGGAGGGCAGGGCACTTTAGGGAGGCTCGGCAGCATTCCCAGCAGCCTGCCTGCACGCTCACACAGCACGCCATCCCCAGATCTCATCGGTGCCTCCACGCAGCCACTCGGTGCAGCGGCAGCTGCCCCAGGGCCCGGCAGACTCACGGTAAATGCTTTTCAGAGCTTTGTGGATCTTGGACTTGGGGAAAAGTGACTGCAGGCCACGTAAGAAAGGGAAAACTGGAGACTTTGCGGCACATGTTTCTGGGATTAGAACAGAGCCCGTACCCTCTGGTCTGGAGTCAGTCCCATAGGACTTCGCTGAAAACCCAAGCAGAGGAGCCCCCTTCTGGGAGGCCTCAGGAGGACAAGGAAGGCACAGGAAGTGCACACAGGAAAGGAGCCCACTCAGCCCCAGGGACAGGCAGGAGGTCAGGGGACCAAGAGGAACAGAGCACACAGAGCAGCAGAGGGAACCAGGCACTGATAAGAAGAGGGGAGAACGCTGGGCCTGGTGGCACAAGCACATAATCCTGGCACTGTGCGAGGCTGATGCAGGAGGATCACATGTTGGAGCCAAGTTCGGGCAATTTACTGAGGCTCTGTTTCAAAATTTTAAAAATAAAAATAAAATAAGAAATTAAAAAGTGCTGGGAATGTAGCTCAGTGTCAGTGGGGTGGGGGCAATTGGCTGGCCCAGTCTGGAAGGAGCGAGTAAGAGTGGACAATGAGCATTTAAAAAGTTCAGCTCTGTGATTAATTTAAAATGCCAATGAAAACAATGGGAACTCAGCACTTTCTGCTCACAATAAATGGGACTGCAGTTGCCATATGTGATGATTTTCTAAGTCAAATAAAATAAACATACATAACTGATAACTATGGGAGTCGATGCAACCATTTTCCTGAGTTTTGCAAAAGGTTAAAGAAAATACCCTAGAGAGATGCAAGTCTGCAGAACACGTTACTCATCGACAACTACGGGTGCTCTTGTTAAAACAGTGATGTTCATTACGGCTCTCCTCAGAACAGAGGGAGGCAGAACAGGAACCATTCCATCATCAGGGCCAAGTGAAGTCAGCCTTGGAACATTACAGGTGCCAGGTCCCGCACGGGGGGCCTGGGGCTGAGCGGGACCCTAACTCCCGGGACACAACCCAGTAATAAAAGTTAGTGGGAAACAGAGTAACGCAGGAGGAAGCCTGCACTGACAAGCCAAACCCGCAACCACAATCACAGAATCACAAAGCAGTCATGCAGGACTCTGTCACTGTTTCAAAACATTTTAGATAAATTATTGCATACAAGTTTATGGAGTTTATTTATACACGATTATGTTAATAGTAACTGCTTCTAGCTTTTTTTACTTTTTTTGATTTACTATAACTTAGAAAACATCTGCAATGAACATGCATTATCTTTCAACAAGGGGAAAAAGTAAAAAATAACTAAAGTATCATAAATCTTCACCACACAGATTAAATCAGTGTCAATATGTGATTGGCTGGTGTCCTAATGTGCAGATATCTTACACGGGACATCATTGCGTTTCAGTAAAATAAAAGAGCAATGTAATGAAGAGATAATGTCCACTTATTCCCAGCCCTCTGTTACATAGTATCTGTGTGTGCAGACAGGCTGTTTGGCAGAAGAAGCAATTCTTTACTGGCTGCAAGGGGTTCAGCCTGCCCCGGACACATGTACAATGGGTGCTGTTCCCTGATGAGGCGATTCTTCAGTTGCTGGTCGAAAGGAGGTGACCAGGAGATGAAATAACAAAAGACTAAGGAGATGGTCAGATTTTATAATTCTGTGTCTAACTAAGTTAATGTAAAATGATAAAGTACCATTAAGAGACTAACTCCTAGTTGCATCGTCTCTTAATCTCCCAGAGATTAAAAAGATGGAAGAAAGCGAGAGGGAAAAGAAGGCTTCTCTCACTCAGCAATGGGCTACGGGTTGAAAGTGGTGGCTGCACTCACAGCTGAACCGTGTGCTGCGGAACCGAAGCAGGCAAAGGCCCTGGCAGACGCTGCCCGCTGCCCAGCTCCGGGGAGGGGCCTGGGCTGCAGCATCATGTCCCGCGCATTAGGACTGGGCGCGTGCCTGTGCGCGTGTGCGTCACAGCCTCACGTGGGCCGGGCCCGAGGGCCTCTGTCCATGGGGACCAGGACTCCGAGGCCCCAGGCCGGATGCTGCCCCTCAAGGGCACTGCACGCAAAACAGCATCGGGTTAGCTCTGCCTCTCGCCACAGGTTAATTAGATTCTACAATTTTCAAACAGATTAGAAAGAAGTACTAATTAAACTGTGATAGTTCATTAAAGTAATAAAGTTTAAAGAGTATTGTTCTGCAGTGAAGATGAAATACTTGAAACAGCCATTCTATGCTCGAGCATTTCATTGAATGAAGAGACATCGTACATGCAATTACCACTGCGTATGAAATGTATTTCCATAAAACCGTATTTGTGAAGACATCTTGGATAACTATTCAACCAGAGCCTGCAGAACCTTTGATACCCTTTTAATAAGGCCAAACAATAAATTTTTAATGAATTTGAGAAACAAGTTTCTCCCTCTTCCTTCATTTTCACAAGAGCAATGTAATTTCTAGTTTGGGGAACTCTATTTCAAATGTACTAATTTTATGGAAAAGACTCATCTAAAAGGAGAAAGTGCTGTTTAGTGAGCAGGTTTCGCTTAAGGGCATGTTTCTATAATAAAACCAAGAAGAGGAATGGTAGGATTGTACATTTTGAGCCACCTGGAATTTTAAATTACAGTGCTTTGCTTGATCTATATTTATACAAGAATTGCTAAGGACAGGACGTGTTAGATAAATGCCAATTTCTGTACATTAAGTAAACTACTTCCTTTATTTCACCCAATAAAATAAAGTTTAAAGGTTTCCCATAACATTTCAGTGTGGTGTCAGAGAGCCCCAGGACATGTAAGAAACTTGTGAGAAGTATTTCTGAAGAACTAGTATGTTGGCAGTTTTAATACACGGTATATAGCACGCGTTCATTTCCAAATGTAACATTTCCATTTTCTGATGTCTGTTACCTATGCATGTGGGTGGATCCGGCTGCCAGAAGAACCGGCTGTTGAGCTGCACACAGGTGACCTTGGCTTGTCCTTGGAGCTGGTACCCCGGGTCACACTGGAAGTCGAGGGTGTCCCCTGGCTCCCGGCTGTCTCCGTAGCGGGTGCCGTTTTGGGGCAGCCCTGGGTCATTGCAGGTGGATGCAACCGAGGCTGCAAAGGACAGAGAGTGGCTGGTCAGTGCTGAACAAGCGGGTCCACCTGGTGGGTGGGGCCCCCTCAGGCTAAGCACACACAGCATCATCAGGAATCCTTTGTCTACGTGGATATCTGCCAAGCATGTCTTTTCCCCAGGGAACATCTGACAGGTAACATGCATCCTGCTTGTGCTTACATTTAACAGATGCTAACAAGACACTGAAGATGGAGCCAAGAATGGATATGTCACGTGCATTGCGGTGTATTCAGCACCTACACAACTTTCCCCTCTGAGCTGCTGCTGTTCAACAGTAGTTTAATAAAACACATACCACACTTTAAACGACTTAACTAAGAACACCCATCTCAAGGAGACATGAGTCAGATACAATAGAAAGAATTCTTTTGAGGACCCAGCTCTCAGGCTGACCAATACTGTTTGCTCACTTTCTATCTGGAGAGGAAGGACTGGCAGCTGACACAGGGCTGCTGCCTCAGTGAAATTAATAATACCCTTTCACACTCAAGAGGACACAATTTGGCCACCCTAATCTTTTTTTTCACTTTTCCAGATTGAAATGTCTATTTATTTTTTATTTTAGCTTATTAGCTCATGTGTACAATGCATAAGGTTTGCTTTCCTTGGGGAAGTGGTGCATGTACATAACACATCTTGATTCCTTTTTTTAGCCCCTTTGTCTTCCTCCCTCCCCCTTCTCCCATCCCTTCCTTCCTTTTTTTGCCCAGCCTAATCTTAATAAAACATCTAAAAATTTTGTACCTGCCTTTGTGTTAATAAAAAAGAAACAAAGAAAAGAGAAAAGAAAGAAGGGATGGATGGAGGGAGGGAGGGAGGAAAGAAGAAAGGGAAAGAAAGAGAAAGGAAAGAAGGATGAAAAAGAGAGAGAGAAAGACAAAGGAAGAAAGGGAGGGCGAGGGCGGGAGGAGAAAAGAAAGAAAGCGAAGGGAAGGAGGCAGCTCAGGAGAGTGTGGTGAGCAGGAAGTGCAGGCGGCCGTGCAGAGCTCCAGGACCCTGTCCCTGGGCTACACCAAAGATGGCAGAGCGCCCCTAGCCCTGCTCCGGAAGTCACACTGTCTACCAGCACCAACCGCCCAGAGTCCACTCAGGCCTCCTCGCAGACCCTTAGATCCCAGGATCCCACAAACCCGGAGAGGCTTTTTCTCCACTTCCTGCACCGCTGCATCTGAAACTTTAGCAAGGTGCACCTGAAGGTCTAGAGCGTACAGTACCTTCCAAGCCCATTTCCTGTTCAGCTAGAAGGAGCTCTCTCTTCCCTTCCACTGCTTGTTGGGCTGTGGTTAAAATTTGCTTTCCCTGTGAAGTGATTTAGTGTATATGACACAGTGCTACAAGAAAGAGCAAGGAAAAGCCCTGTGTTCAGACCCTCTGTCCAGCTGAACACTGGCAGATTTACAGTTGCCAATTGGCTTGGCTTTCTGCTTTGTAAATTCTGTAAATTGTTTACATCTATCTATCATCTATCTATCTATCTGTCTATCATCTATCCACCCAGCCAACCAACTATCCATCCATCCACCCATCCACACATCCATCTACCTACTCACCTTCTATTCCTCTATCATCTATCCATCAATCCAACCAAGTATCCACCCATCCACTCATTCATCCATCCTCTATCTATCCTCTGTCTACCTATTATCTATCTAATTTATCCATCCACCTTTCTATCTCTCTATCATCTATCTGATTAGATAAATGAAATCACGTTAAACACAAAGTTAGGACATGAGAAAAGAAGAACAAGAACTGCTCCTTGTGAAGGAGAGAGGAATTTTTAATCCAATAGAGGGAGCGATGATGAATAACAGTTGACAAAAGAACGTGTGGGACTCTGCAGAAGGACCAAATGCCCAACAGAAAGGATCCTGGACACCAGCAGCGAGGATTCTGCCATTGGCCAGAACCTCGTCAAAGCTCAGACCAGCTCGTTAGGACTTCATTAGCACTAAATGACTGGTCCCCTCACAGATCTGCAGCTAACCGCTCTGAAACAGAGAGTGACTCTGAGTGCGTAGGTCCTGGGAGACCATGTTATGGAGGCTAATTCAACCCTCCCTCCTCCTCTCTCCGCCAAGCGAGGGCAGGGCTGCCTTAATCACTAGTTTTCACTAAGTGGTTTTGGTCGTATTCTGAGACACATAGCTGGCCACATCTACAACCCAGTAAGACCGGTAAGAAGAGCACTGCTTCATTCATCACCACACCAGCCCAGAGGGAGAAGTCTGTGCGTCAGCCCCCAAGTCATCCATGCAGGCCAGGTCTCCCTTCTCACCCGGCCCTCCTCCATCCCACGGCTCGAACTCCCTGGATTCCCCACCCCTCTCTCCTGGCTTTTCTGGGCAACTGCCACAAACCCACACCTCCGGTGCTGGCACTGGCGTAGCTCCCTGTCGTGTGCTCTCCTCGAGGTGGAGTCCCAGAGACCACATGAGCTCTCGCCCTTGCCAGGGGTGGCTCCGGAGATGCACCCGCTGTGTCACCTACACCCAGGGGTGCTCAGTTTTCCACTGCCCCTGCCCCTTGCTCCAGGCTCCTCTCCAAGTCTGGGCCACTTTGGCTCAGAAGGGGCCAGGAAGCCCCCTGTGGGCCGCTTGCTCCTGTGTGAGGTGTGCAGTCCTGGCTTTCAGGCCCGCCCTCCCTCCCACCAGGCACGCAGGTGGAGGCGCCCGGTCGGCCCACTGCCCAGGGCTGGGCAGCCGAGCTTGGCAGCTCCGAGCCTGCTGCTGTGAGGCCTGACGCCGCTGTCCTTGCCTGCCCTTTCCCTGCACCCTTTCCCTTTCTGCTTGCTTTTCTCCTCATCTGTCTATTTTCTCAGTCTTCTGTTCAGAGAAAATCCGCCTACAATGTCAGCATTGGCTTAGTTGCAATGTTCTTAGTTTCATCTCTAAAACCTTAGAACCTTTTGATTTTTGTCACTCCCCTCTTCCTATGCACTCTTGATTTCAAACACTTTAGTTCTAATAACTTTGAATTAGGCACTGACACCACTGATTTCTGCAAACCTTGTAAATTAAAAACAGTATTATTTTATGCAGTTGGAGTGATTCGTTTTTATATTTCTGCAGACCAGTTTGCTTACTATTTTTTCTTTTCCTTGTTAAAAAATCTCAGAGCTTTCATCTTGCTTAATGTTTCTACTTCCTAGAGTTTATGTTTGTTGAAAATTACTTTTAGGATCTGCGTCAGCTTGGGTTCTTTTCAAATACCCTGTGAACTGGACGGAAAGCGGCCTGTGGTTGTGGGTCATGTGTCTGTTTGTGCCCGAGGTTTATCCACATCACCATCTGCAACTAAATCCATAGCTGCGTCTCCAACTCTCTTCTCCCTCTCTCGGAGGAGAGCCCACTTCCGGGCCAGCTGAGGAGGGGCGTCCTGTTGCATTTCCAACCTCAGAGACCTAGGGTTTTCCCTGTCCATTCCCGAGCCTCAGGGTTCTGCAAGGGGAAGCTAGAAGCCAGAGGAGCCCCACAGAGGCCACAGGGGTGGCACCAGCTTCCGAGCTCTGTCACCTGAATCTCACTTCCTTGCAGGCTCAGCCAGGCACTTAGAAGGCTGTAGGAGAGCTCGGCTAGCACAGTACATGTCCCCAGAGGACCAGTCCTCGCAGGCCGGACACGCCCTTCCTCCTGTCAGCAGCCTCCTTAGCACGAGTGCCAGGGTTTGGAGTGGGGGGTTTCACGCAGAATAAGACTTTCCCATGGGGTCAGGAAGAAAGAGCGCCTGCTCACAGAGAAGGCTCAGGGCTGAGAGGCTGCATCGGGGTGATGGGGGAGAGGGTCTGGGTCAGCGTCCCAGGGCAGCTGGGACAGCAAGGCTGCAGGGGATGCCGGGCGCAAAGCTAACAAGGGAGCGTCCAGAAGGTCTCACCAGGAGCTGCGCGGTTTCGCAACGCGGCGAAGCGACCGCAGCCCGGATCCCTGAGGCCACACAGTCGGGGCCGGCGCCCGGCTCCCCCCAGGCACACACCCTACTCTGCACTCAGTCTCAATTTCACAGCCTCCAAGGGAAATGCATGCTTTGCTCTGGCAAATGGTTCCACGTGGGATTCAGTGTTTGCTTCTGAGTGTTCCTTTCTTCTGCAGTGTACATCGTGTCAAAGTAATTTAAAACGTGTATGCAGGGTTAAAATAATTACTTCAGAATATTTATAGTGAAAAATAATTCTATTATAACAATGCTGTTCAGCACTAATATAACTTTTGGTGGTACTGCAGACTGACGCCAGGGCCTTCCCACTGAGCCACGTCCCCAGCCTACTTTTGCTTTTTACTTGGAGACGGGATCTGAACTAAGTTGCCCAGGCTGAGGGGGAACTCCAGATCCCTCCTGCTTCAGCCTCCTGAAATGCTGGGGTTACAGTTGGGTGCCACCGCACCCATCTTAGCATTAATATAATCTTGAGAGTTTAGAAGACAAGCCAAGGAGATCATGCATGAGAGTCTCACTACAAGTTTTAAAACCAAGACAAACATTTATCCCGTCTCTTTCCCAAACTTTTACTTTAAATTCATTGACAGCAAAGATAAAAACTACTCCCTGATGAAGCTTTGCAGGAAGACCACAGATGTTGCACAGGAGTAAGAATCCCCTGGGGGCAGGGTGCTGTGCAGAGGTGTCTCTGGGAGTGGCTGCGTCTCTCAGCAGAGCGGGCAGATGCAGCGGAGCCCCAGCCCCTTCCGCAAGACCCAGATGCACTGTAGGATGCAAAGCGGAGCACTGGCTGAGGACCTGGCTGCATCTCGTTGATCCAGCATGCTCTAAACTGCCAGAGTCATAGAGCACCCCAGGAGCCTCTGAAAACCCTCGCACAAAAGACCCTCAGCCCACAGGCTCCTGGAGCAGCGACTGGCTCCCGCCCTTCAGTGGCAGCACCTCTCTTACTCATTCCGGGAAGTACCTTTGCAACTTCAGACCAAAACCCACCCAGAGTATTTGTGACCCTAGTGGCTCCTTGGTTCACAAACTCAGTTTT